CTATAACATTACAATACTACTGGATGTAAACAGCATGTTTTTTTTTTCATTTTCATGACACCAGGTCTATGAATATCAGACTGATGAACTGAGCATGCCCAGTGAGAGGCACACAGCGTGTTTAACTCGACAGCTTGCAATGTTTTCAAACATCCGCATCTACCAATGGATATGCAACACAGACCAATCATGATCACTGACTACGTTTTGTTTGTTTACTGAAAGGCAAATCCTATCAAACAAAGGCCACGGCATGTAATTTTATGGATGGCATCAGCGCGCGCATTGATTTTCCCGATTTGGGGGAAAAACAAGGAATTTTGTTGCCCTCTGACAGTTTTCGGTTTGCCGAAAATGTGCAAAGATGGCCTGTTGCCACGCCAAAACGTGAGTGGCAGATAAATATGAAAAAGAGGAGACAAAACAACGCTCTGATGTAATTTTTGTCTTTTACTTTGATGCAGTGATGTATTTTACTCCTTTTTATGTGATGGTGGCTGGGTATATGTGATGTTCCCACCAAATCAAAATCATTTGTACAATGAGTACAATTTTTTAAAAGTTGTTTCAGTGATAAATGGATGTTGTAATAGTTGGCAGTAAACTTAGCTCAGCGTAGGTTCATGATGTCAAAATTTGAAAATGTAGGACTCTTGTTTTATTGGCCCGTCGTTTTTTTGTCCTATCGCATTAGTCTGGAAGACATAATGTCCCATCTTTCCAAAATTTTGGGAATTTCAAAGAAGAATATTTATTTCTTGGTCTGTACGGTTAAGAAATTGGGATAAATTGTAGAAGTTTAAATAGTCAACTCATTTCGAGCGTTGTTATGGAATGAACAGATTGAAATAAATGTATTTCGTATTCCACAGCCTTTGTACTACAATATTTACAAATTCTTTCACATATAGGTAATCTTCTAGTAGCATTTGCGGAGAGGATGTAGGACTCGGGAGCTATAATAGGTTTGGTAACCAGGCTAGTCTTCTAGTGCTCATCGACCCGTAATAATATTGTTAGAATTGTTACCTATATTTTGCACCTACCATGCCTGTTTTACAGATAAAAAGAGTAGACTCATTATACCGAAGGGGGGGGGGGGGTCGCCAGCGAGCGCGACATCGTTCGGGGACGAGCCCGCTGTGACTCCGGTTGAAACAAACTGAATAGTCAAATTACGCCCTCTGACATTTCTTTTGAAACTTTATGTTTCAAAAGCACTTTGATCTGTGCTCCATAATCTTAGAATGATAGTCTTACACCGAAAATTAGTCTATTTATTTGCAAGAAAAAGAACATGTATACCAAACTTATTGAAAGAAAAAAAACATGTATCCAAACGTATTGAAGAAAGAAAAAAATATGTATCCAAACTTATTGAAGAAGTCTCAAGTAGCTATATACATGTTTAACTGGCATACTTCTGACATACTTTGATTTGAATAAATCGCTTTAAAACAACAACCTGCTTTCCTGCATCAACTGTGCCATTATACACGCATTCAATTTACAGGCAGTTATATCTTAAAACATATACTACACGTAACGATTTGCATTGCGGTCCATGTGCTCCTCAATGCACAAATTAATCATGGAGTCTAACGGCATGTTGCGTATTTGTTTTCGTTCATTATATCCAAACCTATGAGAAAGAATATGGGAGTCACACACACACCACTACGTACAGTGGACTAGCCTCTTGTACATGTATCATTGAAAGGGCGGCTTTATAACCCTTGTCAAAACCCTGGCATTTTTTACACAATATTTGTCAATAATCATAGTCATAGACCCCTGATTTTTTTGCCCTGCGGTGGTGTAGTTACTTCCACATTCGTTGCCTTTTGCTGCGGTGTGATGCATTGCACGAGAAACACCGCTAACTCGTACCTATACACGTTGCTTTTATGGATATTACTGTATGTGCAAAACAACAATTGTTGGGCTCCGTTGAACAAGGGTTTTAAATACTTGCAGTGAAGACTCACGGGACGTTTGAATGAGAGCAATCGCGTGAAAGGAGACATATAATAGACATATGTCTACAATTCGCCGTTAAGAATAAGGATTAAATTCATGTATGTCTTTGTGGTTTTACAAGTGGCATGTAGGTGACACGGATGCCGTACCGCGCTAGCCACTGTCTCCCCGCACGACAGTCCACGGACTCAGGAGTGCTTCGCCTCGACGGGTTTGCTGGGGTGGTGGGGCTTCAGCGAGCGCAAGACGTGACCGGGAATCGAGGCTGACCAAGACAGAATGACGCCATGCTGGGGTTGCATTTTGGGTGATGACGTCATACCTTCCGGTCCAATAATAATAATAATAATAATAATAAATGGTTTATTGGCCAAACATCACCCGTGCAATTGCAGCCTTATAGTGCTGAATTGATGCAGGGTTACAATGGTACAATGATACAAATGGTAATAATACACATAATAATACACGTACATATTTGTTCCACATTTTTGTGGAACTGCCGCAAGGGTCTGTGCGGCTGCCATTCGGCGCCACAAGGTGACCTCAATACGGCTTTTCCCAACCAAAGTTAGGTACCCATTCACAGCTGGGTGGAGTGAGGAAAGTCGTGTAAAGTGCCTTTCCCAATGGCACAACATCGGGGCACATGTCCAGACATGTCCTGGGTACGACTCGGGATTGAACTCAGGTCTCCCGGCAGTCGAATGAATAGCCCCGCATAACAGCAATAGCAATGAGGAAGGTGACAGACGGTCACCGAAACGTCGGCTGAATAAAAGACTTGGGTGTGTAAAAAGAATCCTTCACTCACTTGATTTACTTGATCATTTATTTCCAAAACTCTGACATGACATGCAAACAATGTCCAACTTCATGTTCTTTCACAAATATTTATTAGTGTGACAAGTATCCAACCTTATATACAAAAACAGTCATCTTCTTATGGTAAGAGCAATGTTCTTGTATAAGCAATGGTAAGAGCAATGTTCTTTCATACCACAGTTTATTTTCCTTGAATTACATGAATGCACACAACTACGAACTCTTGTTTACCGTAAATTGCATCGGTGTGGTCTTACAAAGGAAATATCATCTCGCTTCCTTATACATAAGAAACCATAAAAAGTCTAGGTTGCTTTGACAAAACATTACAAATTTCCGTTAATAACAGTAAGAAGTTACAAATACAGTCAAAACTGCCCAAGGCGACCACCCCGGGGGACCGAAGAAAAGCGGAGAGATTCGCCTCAGAACATGACTAAGACAAAAATGTTTCGCAATGCTTTAATGTCTAATACTGTAAACATCTTCAGTCCAGTCCAGCATATGGGGAGGGTGGCACATGGCACAATTTAAGTCGGAAAAAAAACATCGTCCAGCAGTCGAGGCAAACTGGCTGGTTTTTCCATTATTTCTCATTAGTTATCATCAATTATCAACAGATATCGGGCCTTGAGCGAACCCAACTTAGGGTGGTCGCGGTCGCGTTGTCCAGGTGATCACCTTAGACAGGTTGTTTAATGATTGCGTCAATGGTGAAATTTTTGGGACCGAGAAAAGCGGTCACAATGACAAGGTGACCAGCTTGGAGACATTGACAGGTTTTTCTGTAGTTACCGATGTAAGATGACATTGCCAGTCACCTTACACCGGTAGGTAATGTTATGTAACTGTAATGCTGTAACCTTGCAAAGGAATAAAAGTCAAGTTTGATACCATTGATACCATTGAACCTTTGACAAAACCTTGTTTATTACCATACCATATGTAATTGTCGTACTTTTTTTCCGTACAAAGAGAAATCTATTGTTAGCTTTTGGGTTAACTTCCGTATATTCCGTTGATATTGCGTTATTGCCTTTTATAATGACAGTACATTCTTTTTTTCTCTTAAAACAGAAAAAAACATAAATACAAACAAGATGGCGTCGAACTCAAGTTCCATGGAACTTAAATCAACGGCGCCATCTAAACAACATGATTAAACAGAGATATGGTAATTACGTATATATGGACAAATATGTAAATATGCAAAATCGAAACAAAACTAATTGGGGTTTAGTAAATGAAATTCAACGAGCGCAAGTCGCAACTCCAGTACCTTCCTAATAACAAATAAACTCTTCTTATTTGAGTTGAAACATCTAGTAATTACTTCTGATTATATAATTATATAGTCCCAGTACTATTTCCTTGCGTTTCGTGCACATTTCTACTAGTGATAACGTTGCCTCATCATCAGTCCGGGACCGGGAACCCCTGACCTGATGATGACCTATTTGTGACAGTCTTGGATATTGCGTAGTTTTTCGTTTGTATGTAATTTTCGGTCTACTGTTTTTGTTTATCATTATTCAGTTTTCTTTCCTTTATGTCTTTGTATATGTCACAGGGGAGATTGGAATCCAGGGGGATCCGGAATCCTCCTAGGGGAGATTGGAATCCTTATTTCCCCTAGGGGAGATTGGAATCCTCCTAGGAGATACTTATTGAAATCCTGATATTCAGATCGAAATTCAGTAGTAGAAATACTAGAACTCAAAGATTGAATCATTTCACACCTAAACTTTAAATCAATTTCAGCATAGGTAAGTGAATATGTAAAACAGACTCAGATATTTGCACCAGGCCATTGTGAGATAGTGACTCAAAAACGAGTTTTTCCAGTTTGTTAGTGACTTGGTATATAAGGGATTGTTATGCCAGGACAAATCTTGATTCCAATCTAGTAATTCACCTACAATTATAGTAATAGGCTTGCCTAAAATGATTTAAAGTTTAGGTGTGAAATGATTCAATCTATGAGTTCTAGTATTTCTATTACTGAATTTCGATCTGAATATCAGGATTTCAATATCTCCTAGGAGGATTCCAATCTCCCCTAGGGGAAATAAGGATTCCGGATCCCCCTGGATTCCAATCTCCCCTGTGACATATACATGCATGTTCTTTTATCTATGTAAAACATAATTTTCGTACACCAGTACTACTTAACAAAAACGAACACTTCAACATTGCTACAGCGACTTTGGATTAGGTTTGGCATCGAGTGACAAAGAGCTTAGCCCAATAAGTATTGTCTGTGACGTTTGTGAAGCCGAAGAAAAAGACTTGCTCCCATTCACCTCATACAGACCCTTCTTCTTCTTTCCTATGTAGATGAACTTCTTCCAGCACGTCAGTTTCTTCCACCACTTCGTCATGTCTTCTCTCATCACACAGTGGAAGATGAAGATGAAGAGGCCCTGGAGGGTGTTGAAGATGCAGAACAGGTAGGCGAAAACCGTGCGTGCGTCATCGATGACGAAGAAGCCGAACAGCCATGTGAGACCAAATAGAGCCATGATGCTGCAGGCTCGACGAATCTGCAGGATGATCCACTGACGATCTACCTTGCTAGCATCAGCTGCAGCACCTGTACACGAAACAAAAAACCGTCCAATAGCATCATTACATTCGCCAAGAAGGTAATGTTTTCATGATCAGAGGCGTTCGTGTATGTGTGTGTAGGAAACACGATAACTTAAGAAGACTTTAATGGATTGACTTCATATTTGGTAGGTGGGTAGGTCTTGGTGAGACCTGAAAATGATTAAATTTTGGACCACCAAGCGGCTTCTTATGGTACTGCAGCGGAACTTGCGGCTTTGATATCATGACCTAGACATGTTAGGGTCACGAAATTTGAATGATAGGTAGCTCTTGTGCTGCGGAAGAAGTGACGTGAGTTTGGTCCCCTAGCGGCTTGCTCTGGAACTGCAGGGGCATTTGCTTTGATAATATTCAAACGAGGATAACTCAAGAACCGGTCGACAGATCGTCATGGTTTTTGGTGTGTAGCTTAAGGGATGCGTGACATAACTATGTGGCAATTATGCAAATATTGGTGTAATTTGCATGTGTGTGTGTGTGTGTGTGTGTGCGCGCTCTCGTGTAATGCACGCACGCTTGTGTCTTACATATCTACCTCTTAACTCTTTCTGTTTCTTTTCTTCTCTGACCAGTTTGTACATGACCAAGATGAAGACCAGCAGGTTGAACAGTAGGATGAGACCCGCTGGGATTAAGAAGGCGTAGATCAGAGGTTCTCGTGCAAGCCAGCAACTGTAAACAAATAAAGAAACAAAAAAAAATGTTTTCATTCATGTAGCTTTTGTTTCTGGCTTGTGCTATACCATCTTTGTATATTCACTTGTTCGTTAGTTTGAAGATACAGCCAAGCTGAAAGCGTATTAATTAGGTTCCTTAACGTCCTTCACGAGTGTATGGTGTATCTGTGACATATTCTCAGGATGAAGAAATTTTCAAAAGCACTGCGGTGAGATTGCTACATGTTTGAAAACATTACCTACGCTTTGAAAACATTACTTACGCTTCCTCCATTCTATAATTGTAGAGACTTGAGGGCCCAGCAGTTGACAGCGTGGCAACAAGAGGAAAGCCTGGAGAAACATGCCAAAACACTCTAAAAACTAGAGTTCCACGGCCTTCGCCAAATGACGTTAACCTTTCTTCACCCCAAAACAGTCTAAGAATGACATTTCCTCATAAATTTTGCAAGTGAGGTCCTTATTTGGTCCTTATTCCTTATATTCGAGCGGTTCTTGAGTTATTCTTCTTAAAATGTTTCAACAAACTCCCCTGCAGTCCCAGAACAAGCTGCAATGTGAACGCCTCTGAAAACATAGCCTGCTTGGCGCAGGTAATCAACCTTTCATTTCTAAAGGCTGAACTACAGGAGCTAACATGTATGAATAAAATACATGAACATGTGAAAACTAGAACTATATCAGAAGCTTTATGTCACTCACCGTATGCGTGGACCAATTGGAATTGAGTACCCATTTTAGGTGATTATGGGAAGAAACAAAAACTCACCCCACGCTACAGCACCAGCCTTGATGACGAAGTTCTCAGAGACATGGTCAAACACTTGCACAACGGCTCGGTACAAGTTAACGGCTTCCATTGCCATCCACATCAAAGCAGCCAATAGGAAGTAGTGTAACAATGCCGCCACAACCTTACAACCAATGGGAGAAGCCGTCCGGTTGATGCCAGCGAGGAAGATGACGAGAATGGCCAACAGAGCCACGCAGAGGTTGATGAGAACGAGTCGCTGGTTCTTAGCATGACCTGTTCTGGTTCGGCGTTTGTCTCTTCTGGAGTTATAAATACATGAAGTATGCTAACACTGAGTTTGTTTTTCCGGTAATTAGTACCACATGATTTCTGATAATGTCAGAAACCCGTTCCCATGGCAACACAAACATCTATCAATGTATTACGTATCTAAGGCAATGTTAATTTGATTATATGGATGATATCCGCGCGCGCATGAATTTTCGGCCGTTTCAAAAAAAAGTTTTCAACTATAATGTAACTCGTACAAAACAGTTGTAAAATGAGCAATATATAACGTAAGTTGCAAAACAAAATATTTCAAACTATACCAATGTCGTAGAATGCCAAAATCAATTGAAAAAGACAAGACGCAAAGAAATGAATTTGAAGAGTAGATTATTCGACATACCAGACTCAGTCATTTGTTCAACCTTCATGACCACGTAGATTTGGATAATGAAGGCAACCCTTTTTGCAAAAATTTTCGCGTTAGTTTGGGGGTTCCAAGATGATGTCATCCATATAATCAAACCAACATGCATATGGCCTAATTAATATGAAATTGTTGCCAGCTATATTTTAGAAAAAAGTCACCAAATTTGATGGTTCTAGTGCCGTTCAAGCCCCCCCCCCCCACGGTCTTACTAAGGTTAAATGTTGTTTGCATTGTTATCATAAAATACTTTCATATATGGCATTAAATGCTTTGTAACCTGTATAAAATGAATTTGTTCTTGTCAAAGCCGCTCAGACATAAGATTGCTTACCTTGTGATGATAAAAGAGAGTAGAGTCAAGACCAGACAAGCGATGGAGACGACACAGCCCACAATAGTGATGATCTCTAGCGGTTTCTCATGGTCTCCAAAACCCTCGCCGGACACATCCTGAATAAGTAACAATCCAAATGTTAAACATGTATATAGCATATATAACGTCATGTTCTTAAATCGTGCTAAACTATGTGTTCATAGTATTACGTGAAAAAAAATGTGCATTAGCAGGCAAGGATCGTCACGCAAAATTAGCAGTTGGAATGGGCCATGTTCTTTAGATTTCATCATCAACTAGTTGCTGCCTAGTGCCCTCACATATTGTCTTGTTATCTGGAACACGGTTTAAATTTGATATTCAGGAGTAATAATAAAACGTGCAGATGTATTATGAAATCTATTGTGATTTTTTGAGCTGGTTGCTGTGCAGTTCACCATCACTGAGCAGCAACACGCAAAGTACTTAACAACTGTTTGTGTTGTTACTTACAAAGATGATGGCGAAGTTGGTGAGGTGGTTACAGGCGCACGTGTACCGTCCCATGTTTTCGCCCCTGCTCTCACACCCTTCAGTTGACCACGCGTCGGCATCAAAGTCCCAAAACACACATTTGACCTCCCTTATATCTTCAGGAACAAAACTCTCCTGTAAGGGGACAAAGGTGGTGATAACCGGTTCGGGCAGGTCCTTAACACGCCTCCCTGCGATTCTGCCGCCGATGATGCGGGTTCCCACGGCACCCTGGGAATGGACCGTGGCACTCTGGGAAGGCCCCACGGCACCCTGGGAAGGCCCCACGGCACCCTTGGAAGGCTGGACGAACAGGCTGCTGCTGTCGTAGAGCGTGTAACTCAGACGGACATCTGCGAGTGGAGCAAATAAAACTCTCCTTCGATATTTGCCCACTAAATAAATCTATAGCATGTCACAAAAATCAGATGTTTAAACCAAAAGCATTACCAAAAAAAGCTGTCAGGGGACCGTCTTTTTTATTTTGCTAACTTACACAATAACATTGCTGACAGGTCCATTTACAGTGTTTTGAGTTGTTGTGTTGGTTGTGTTGTCAACAAGGATGGCACAACTACACTGCAAGAAATCCTTCCTCGTTAAAACATGCATAAAGCTACACGCGAGTGACGAATTGGAACTTCACACTCACTCTAATGTGTCGGTAAAGAATACATTTTGTGCACCATAGACATTTTTTGGGCAAAGATCTGTTAACCTTAGCTGAAAGCACAAGTACCTGACATGTTTTTGATCTGTATCATATTTGAGATGTTAGGAGGTAACGAGATAGAGATGTCAGCAGTCTGCTGAATGTCTCCTCCATCCTCCGTAGTGAAGCTTGTAACGTTGCCTTCCGTCAAACTGTCGGAGTCGTTTCCACTCAGGGAGAAGGCGAATCCTTAGAAAATTAACGGATTTTCTAGTTAACTTGACGTTTTTTCAACAAAACACCCGTGTAGCTTATTTAATGAGAACTAATCAATGTTATATGAGCAACACAGATATCAATTGTTTGAGAGTGTGATTTTCAATCCCGATCGATGTTCGGCAGTTTAGATATCTGACATGAGACTTTTTGTCAACATCACGGTAAACAGTATATGACAGAGATACAAGGAATTAAAGAAATAAAGAAATGTGTGAATTCAAATGTTACATTAGCAAGAAAGTCCATCTAAGTAGGTTCAATACACAATGAGAAATAAACTGTTCTCCAACTCAAATTAGATTTTAATCGTGAGAATTTTCGACCAAGGAGGACTGACTTCCTCAGCTATGTTTTGTAGGACATTCATACATACATTTTGGGTAATGGCATGACAATTATTGGATATAGTTATGCAGCAAGTTTAAACTGTAATTTCCAACACAAGAAATTGGTCTGTGACGCCCCCCGTCTCTGTTGAGGGATGGTTGTAATGCCCTGATGTAGATGACCTCTTTAAACCCTCGTGCAAAGAAATCCGGTTCTGAGTCCAGGATTCTTACTTTGTCCAGTGAGACTGAATGACCAGGCGATGCTATGTGTATATATGTTGTGAAACCTCAGGAGTAGTCGAGCTAGGTCGTTTGTGTTCTAAGAACCTAGCCTTGAGAGATCTTTCAGTCTCTCCAATATAGGTTTCCTTACACGGGCCCTTGGAAGTCTGTCCTTGACACTGTACATATATAGAATACGACACGGGGCATTCCGTATCGAGACCGAAGGCGATGCGGAATACACCGTGTTGTATTTTATTTATGTCATACCCACCCAAGAAAACACGCCTTTCAATGCAAGATGAGCCAAAAGTTGGTGCCACTAAACCCTAAAATGCAACAACATCAATTCCAACGTCCGGATTCTGTATTTGAATTTTCGAAAGGGGCACAAGCGGGTAGGGCGAAACGCGTTCGAGTCGTTTTATGGAAGCCATGGAAGCGTTCGATAACGGGTTCCGGACCGGGCCGTAAGTACGGCCCGGTCTGGAACCCGTTATCGAACGTTATCGCAGCCCGGGTATGATATAAGGTAAACTACCCCACACTTGCTTTCCTTTGATGTTTTGTCCTTAGGTGCGACCAGTATATTCCGGAGGGTTCTAGTTGGTTTAAAACAGGTCTTAATCCCATGTGCAGCGAAGATCCTCCTGAGCCCTTCACTCAGGTCTTTTCTGTAAGGTAGAACAACTAGGCCTCTATTTGAGCTTTGTTCTTGCTATGATACTGGTTACTGTCTGTGGGCTTAGTTGTTCTGCCTTACATATACACATAGAATCGCCTGGTCATTCAGTCTCACTGGACAAAGTAAGAATCCTGGACACAGAACCGGATTTCTTTGCACGAGGGATTAAAGAGGCCATCTACAACAGGGCATTACAACCATCCCTCAACAGAGACGGGGGCGCCACAGACTTTCTGCAACCTATGATCCACTGCTCACGAAGTCACGTGTGTTATCTGCGTGACGTGACGTAAACGGTGGATTGCTCATTCCTTGACAAAGACTGGAGTTGTACAGTCGAAAATTTGGGTGAGTCCAATTTCTTGTCTTGGAAATTACAGTTTAAACTTGCTGCATAATGACTTCTACCTACACAGATGAACTTTCAAAATTATTGGATATAATGTTCAGTTTTTGCTTACCTTGTCCCTTGTCCAACTCTTCTGGACTGATGTCAGCTGCCTGCAGTGCCAGTCTTGGGCGCACGGCGGTGTATGTATCTGTTGTCAGTATGACCGTATCAGCAAATGTCTCCAGTGCCTGGACGGCTCTAAAAAGCAATGAAAAATGATGTACTCTGGTACTTATACATGCCATCTGCCATTTCGGCTAAACTGCAGAAACCGTATTAAAGCACGCGTACTACGAATTCTAGTGTGTTACGTCAAAGTACAGTTGTACCGGCTATAAAATACACATGTAGGTTCAGTACAGGTTTAACGGTTGTATGTCAGGCGTTACCTGGTCGGCCCTCCCCTTTCTCCTTGACTTTGCTGAAGAACTGTGACGTTCACTTTAAACAGGTTGTCTACAGTTGTCAGAAGGGAGTCTCCGATCTATGGGATACAGAAGCCTCCGTTACAGACACCAACAAGTTTTTTTAGTTACACGCCCTCATGTTCAGTAGAGCATTTACAAACAAAATTTAGCAAGGGATCGGAACCTAATGATTATGATATTGCTCATTTCCCTATAGATGTATATAAACATAACTTGGCACTGCACAAATTCCACTCTTTACTCACACCTTAAAGCATGCGTAAATGTTCCGTTTAGTCACTCGCGTGTCTCTAAGCAAGATATAAGGTGTGTTTAAAGACATTTAAAGATATAATTTTATGCTGTGCGACAAGGAATTGGAACCTGGTAGATATCGGATTGTTCATGCTCTAAGCTCTAAATTGTTCTAAGCTCTAATAACAACGAACTCCTATCTTTAAGCACATCTTAAATCATGTATAAAGATATACGTGACGTGAGCGAAGAAACAAAACCTTTACGCATGTTGAAACAATGTCAGAGAGGATGGTAAGTAGCAAAAGACCAGGAAAATGTAAAGTAATATCTGACCTGCTCAGTGGCGCTGGCGTTGACTATTTTCTGTAAAGTGGCGATAACGGTGTCCACATCACTAGACGAGAGAGTTTCAGTCTGTGTTGTGATCAGCTGCAGTTCCGTTGCCACAGACAGAGCCGTCTCGTTGTTCACTACAATCTGCAAAACACACAATCTTTCACTGCAGTACGAAGAGAAAGCGCAAATTTAACCATCCCAAATATTATCATAATTTATCCATACCCTTTTGGGATAACTTACCTAGAACAGTTTGGTGTAAATACTTACCTGGGACAGTTTGGTGTTAACACTTGTGGGGTCGTTTGGCGTAGTGGCAGAGTGCGCGACTCGGATGATGTATTTGTCCCATGTGTTGGTGGTGGCATAAATATAAGTTTAAAAAACTTGAGTGTGCCGTCACCACGTCTGGAGATTAAATGTTGGAATAAATAAAAAAACACTTACCTCTTACAGTTTGTTGTAAATACGTACCTGAGACAGGTTTTGTAAGTCAGTACCACACGTGAGGAGGACCGGCTGGTCCCACACTGCAGCTCCATTTTGTGTGATCCGACAGAAACGAGTGGCCAGGGGCTTCTCTGTCGAGTACAATATGAAGACGCATATATGTCACAAATACATGGTAGTCTATTGATTTCTCGAAAGCTTAAGTACCGGGTTCGAATCTCAAGCAGGTCCAAGAGGTTGTTATTTCCGCACTCAGATCTGGTGAAAATAAATAACTAGCGTCAATTAAAAAGAGTCCCCCATGTCGATAGAACGTTAGGCAGGAGGTTGGTGTTTAGGCATGTTAAGGAGAGCTATTGGATCCTGACTGACATTAGTGGATCAAACCTGTCACTTTTTCAAAGTTTCCACTTAATCAACCTATACAGCCGCTGTTTTGCTCCTTATGTGGTTTACAGGCAGGTTATGTAAACTAATAAAAACGTTTTCATGTGTCTTCTGTTAGCTCATAACAGAGAATGGGATGGTGTACCCTTCGTAATATACAGACTATTTCTCTGACTTTAAAACGCAGAAAAGGCATTAACCGGATTCTGCTCTATTTCGTAAGTGCCAATTTCCAAGTGCCACTGTACCGGTCCAAATCCATCCTGTTTACTAGTAATGCACGTACACATTTATTAAAGGTTTCATGGGTCATTTTTAACTATTTAATATCAAAACATTCACCTTACGATAACTGTTTTCCGACGGGGCCAGCACAGTACAAGACATGGTCAAACAAATAAAAATAACAAACAGTATACATAACAACACAACGTCCAATGAGTCAAAACAGAGTCATAGTCCCAAAATCATTTCCTAGCCGTTCTATGGTTAAAAAAGGTACAAATTTGGAGTGGAGGTCAGAGGTCAAGATGTTACATATACTAACCATTTTCTGCAGACGAGTTACAGCGTTCAGCAGAGTAGGAGAAACTTCCGCCGTCTGTACGTGAAAAAGTCACCTGTCCGACTTCGGTGTCAACAGACTTCTCTTTGCAGTAGTCTGCCGTAATGTAATGATAATAACAAGCATGACTCGGTGTATCTAAAACATTAACGAACAAACTTTAGAATAGGCTTCTTTGATAAGATAAGAATTTCAAAGGTCATCTTCTGTATAATATGATCATCTGATTTCATGCAAATTAGGACTTTATTTGCATGACTAATAAGGAACATCATTCATTCGTACACATCATTGGGCAAACTCTCCTTTTCGTTAAGGAACGCTTGATTTGGAGATCTTCTGGCACTTTTAAATAACATATGCCTCATATCATCTACAAGAGAAGACAGGTAGATAAGTACATTAAAGGCACTAAACGGGGTTTTTATAGTTGTAAAACGGGATTTTCAAAGTCTTTACCTAGATCTTTAAACGTGTTGCTCCGGAGTAAAATAACACTCCGGAGTAAGTATGTTTCGGTGTAAAATATTACTCCAGAGTAAACATTACTCCGTTTTGGAATGGAGGGTCTACATGGGGGGATCCTGAAGAATTAAAGCAAGCAATTCAAAATAATTAACCAACATCGCTTAACGTAGAGTGGGCCTAAACTATGATTAACGATGTATCGAAATAGCTCACTGCGCCTTATAGAAAAAAGGCATGCAGACTCTCACTGTAACCATGCTGAGTTCTGTGCATTAAAAATCTGTAAAAACAAACGAGACTGAAACCTGTGGACTGTGGAGCGATGCTTGCTGTACGTGTTGTCGGTCGGCTCACACTCGGTGTCTGGCTTACTGTCGGTGTGCTTACAGCAGGCGTCTGGCTTACTGTCGGTGTGCTTACAGCAGGCGTCTGGCTTACTGTCGGTGTGCTTACAGCAGGCGTCTGGCTTACTGTCGGTGTGCTTACAGCAGGCGTCTGGCTTACTGTCGGTGTGCTTACAGCAGGTGTCTGGCTTACTGTCGGTGTGCTTACAGCTGGTGTCGGTGTTGTACCTATCCCGAGCCGCTGTGCACTATGGGAGGGGGAAGATATCAATCACCCACACATGCCAGTTGCTGTGTAGCCACCGTTCCAGCAGGTCACCCATATGGCAGCTCCTGCCAAAGTATAGTATAATGCGCGGATGTCTCCTCAGGAAGGACAGCAAGAGCATGGCTAGGCCCAGAGAACTCATCCCGACCACACGACGAACACCTTTGGAGTTTGTGTAATAGGACATAACCTCCGTGTGCGGGAATGTTTGAGGAGAGGAGACTTAGAATGCTGGATGTGCGTGTATGTGGTTTCCCGCCAAAAAACAGGGCCGAACCTACAAAGCGTTTTCTCGGCAGTCAGCTACCTTCCCTGTGTCCGTGCGAGGTACTGTGTTTTATTCCAGTTGACCATTTTTTAATACTAGTATGTGGTGCAAGCTGTATCGTAAAACGAAGAAGTATGCCAAGATGGCTAGCCAAGAGTGAATTTGTTTGTCCAACTTCCCCTCAGCCTGGGCCCCCAACTGTTATGATTGAGGGTGTTGATTTTTGGTTTTGACTGCTGCACTAGTTTTCTGGTTATAATATTTTTGTTCCATTGTTATTTTACAAAATGTGTCACCGGACATGTTAGACAGGCGAGAAACACAGACAACTTACGTTATATGTTGAACGGATGGTTTGAGAAAAAATTTGTTTCGCATAGCTGAGGAGATTAGAACATGTGTGTGAAGTTACCATCTCTGTGCCGGGCCTCTACCGGGGGTGATCCATTTCTGTGGTGCTTGGGGTGTAAGTTGAGTCTATTATTATGTTCTTTTTGTAACAACGTTGACATGACAGTAAAATTCGTTGTCAAGAGACCAACAGGGAATGATAGGTTTGTTTTCATGAGTAACCCCTGCTTACAGACGAGCAATAGAAGAGATAGTAATGACGCTCCACAGATGTCGAAAGGAATGCCATCATAACAAGCTGAGGCTTTGTGCCCCCTGTTGTGCCCCCATCTGTGAACAGTTTAATCCTTGTGCCCCCCCCCCGTGCTACAAGAAAAGGAAAATAAAAAGTCACATTTTGAATGTCAGAAGCGATCTGGTCGTTGTATTGAGTGGTAACTTATGAGTATGACTCGTCAGGTGGAAGTTTTTGGTTATGACCGGATGTTAATGGAAGCACTGCATTTTCCCCATGTCAACCGGTGTTAAAGTGAAGGAATGTTTATGATGCGATGGGTGGAGGCTATGTGCCCCCCACGTTGGAAGAACAAATGAGTCCCAGTGAATTCTGATACACACTATCACTGTGGGACACATGTTGCTATGAAGCCTCCCGACGTACGCTCCGATAGGGTGTAAACACTGTACTGTTGCGTGCACATTGTAACAAACAAGCTAACAACACATCACTGTTTGAGTCATGTGAATGCTTCCTACCCCTAACACCTCCCTCGCCTCTCGCTGATTTCGTATCATTCTGAGTACGGTCAGAGTGAGGTGGGTTCCACGAATGCATGTTTGTGTTTAGTGGTAACAAATTGAGTGTGCCAGGATGAAATATTGTAACACTAGTCCCTCTGTGACATAAGGTCAGTTGCACAAGTAATTAGCTTTGTTACGGGGACAATAACAGAAGTAAAACATGCTAGAGAGATACGTTATTTTAAAAAATGATGGTATCCGCCGCTTAGGAGAAAATGTGCGGGTTGCCTTATTCTCCTTAGCGGTGACCGGTACCGTCAAATTCCCAGCGATTTTCTCGCAAAGCCCCTGACAAGAAAACTATTTGTTCACGACCGGCCGTCTGTCTGTTTCGTACTGTACACTTACCCCAAGAAACGTTACATTTGTGTGTTGTTTTCATAGTGTATATGCCACCTGGACCGGGCAGTACCCGCAGGTGTGTTGGAAGTACTGTGTGTACTGTGACATAATGTATATGCCACCTGGACCGGGCAGTACCCGCAGGTGTGCTGGAAGTACTGTGTGTACTGTGACATAATGTATATGCCACCTGGACCGGGCGTACCCGCAGGTGTGCTGGAAGTACTACGTGTACTGTGACATAATGTATATGCCACCTGGACCGGGCGTACCCACAGGTATGCTGGAACTGAAGAGTACTGTGATGTGCTGGAAGAGTAATGTGACTTGCTGTACTAGTATGTGCCACCTGGACCAGGCAGTTCCCGCAGGTGTCCTGTTGTAATGCATGTTGTCACGCATGAAGGTTGGAGAAAACACGAGAAAATACTAGTACAATATGTCACCTGGAACAGGCAGTTTCCCACAGGTGTGTTGGAAGAGTACTGTGACATATGCATGTGTCACCTGGAACAGGCAGTTTCCGGCAGGTGTGCTGGAAGAAAGGTTATACATCAGCGACCCAGACTGGGCTGTCACCCGCAGGTCTGCTGGAAGAGCATTTGATACCACAAATGAACCAATAGGTACAGAAAAGTATAAGCAGAACTGAACAATGTCAAACTGGATGTTGTGGTCTTGACCCAAGACATTTTGTAGGTCAAACGGGCACACATGTAAACCCCTCCCCATGGAACTGACAGAAGTATTGAGAGGGGCATACCATATACGCCATATGCTTACATGCTTCCCAGCTGCCTGGGTGAAGCTGCATTTCACGTGAACGTACACACGTCTGGATTGCCTATCAATTAGGTTTCAATCCAAGGTTTAAAAAAAAAAAAAAAACTTAGGGTCGAAGCCAGTGGCTTTCTCCATCTGGGTTGTACCAAGCCAAAACCTGATATCCGGGCTGACCGTTGTGACCCCACATCCCACGGGGCAAGCAGTACAGGTCCGAACAAGCCCACTAGCACCATGTAGCACATGCCGGTGTATCTTACGACCTAGGTGTCCATTTCAGCTAGGCAAGGATATCTAAAAAATAGTCCAGGCAAAGTCAGCTGGACAAAGTAGTTTCATGGGAAGATAGTCCCGCTGACAGGGGCTAGAAGATATACCCAGGTATCAGTCGGGCAGAGTTTCAAATCACACTGTAACATCCTGTGCGTAAAAAATACCAGTAACTACGCAGCGGTCATTTGCTTGCCTCCAACAATGGTTCCGTGATCATGATGAGCGGCATAACCATAGCGCACTGCCTTTTATTCAGGGACGACACCCAAGGAAGTCGTCTAATATCTAGGGAAGGGCAATGAATATGTCTCACAACTTGCCTCACCCGGCACGAGAACGTATAAGACCCAGGGCTATCAGAGCGACATTTGGTACGCCTCGCGCACACTCGTGCACCACGACAACTCGTGCACCACGACAACAAGATAGAGGGTAAAATAATAACACGTGGCGAAGGCTACACCTTGTTGGGGACAAGGTAAAAGAGAGTTCATAACTAGTGAAATGCTCAACAAGGAACACACACATGGCTCTGATGAGGCAATAATAAATACAAGGCCACAGAAAGGCCTACATGGCCCCGTTTTCCGTCAAGCATTATGCGCCAAGTTTGTCGGGGCAATACCGCTGTCAGACACCACATGATTCGAATGAAACAACCCTGCTCGTCACCAGAACCATTGCAAATCAGTACAGACAGAGCACCTCATGCTGCGCTTGACACGGGATTTTGTCGCGCGGCCGAGGATGGAGAACTTGACACAAGCTGGCATGCGGCTGTGTTCTGGCGGAGGCGTTTGACGTGATGCATACTTCATTTCGATGTAGTATAATACTAGCACGTTGCACGTGGACAATGATTACTTTTCCCACATGTACATATACCCGAACTGCCGTTCCAATTTGGTCGACCCGCTGAATTTACCATTACGCCTTACAAGGAACCACCATACAGACCTAACACCTGAACCGACTACAGTCGATCAGGCAGAAGAGTACAGGACTCTAAAGGTCCACACACTTTTTTCCGTAAGATATAATGAGCTACATATGTGTATACCAGCGATACCCGGGTATAGCGATACCGCCTTAGAAGGAGTGATTGACGGATTGAGACCCGAGTCTAAAATATCGGCAGCCATTGTATTGCAGTACTGTTAACTCAGAACAAAAGCGGATGAGCAGATGTAACGAGGAAGAAAGTTTTCCTTGTACTTGTAGTGCAACAATATATTTTGGGCATATAAGTTCCAGAAAGAGACGTCGACATGGATCGACAGGACAAGGTCATTTTACCAACAAGGGTAAAATGACACACACAGACGACAGTGGCGTATGAAACCAAACCCAAAATTACCTACAGGACAATGTAGGACCGGTACCCATATACAATGATTATCCGGAAAGACGTCAGACACAAGCTACTGTGGTACCTGAGGATAGAAACTGAAGCAAGAACACCTGTGCCACTGAATGGGATGAAACATCAGGGCTCTTCTTGCCAAGTTGAATTTGAGACCAGATGTTTCAAGCATTTCCTGAGCTTTTTGGTACTTCTGATAAGTTTGCATTGTTGGCATTTGTTACGCTAGAAGACTTAGAGAAGTATTATGAACAGCAAAAGAATCACCTGGACAAAGTCTACGACCAAGACAAAAAGAGAGGAGAGTGGTCCAGCCACGAATTGTATCAAAAGTTCACTGTGAAAGAACTGTGAATAGGAGGCAATAGTGTCTGTCCGATATGGTAGCGGTAAAGATCTTCTAAATGTTATCATGTAGAGTTTCCCAATCATAACCACAAAAAGGTCAGTAGGCCATGTGTAGCCACACTAATGAGAAAAGTATTTGGCAAGAAAAAAAAACACATTTCTATATCCCAAAAGGACATTTTGCTACCGTAGTATAACAAAATCCTTGGAGGATTTGCTACAGAGGCCTGGTTTTCTGGAATCATGTGAGGAGTGGAGACAGAGAGACACTCCACAGGGCATGTACACGGATGTGTGATGATGGGAAAGTCTGGTTGATGGAAAACCTTTCCTTGCTGATCGGGGTAACCTGGCTTTCATGCTTAATGTGGACTGGTTCCAGCCTTACAAATGTACAAGACTCAGTGGGTGTAATGGATCTGGTTATCATGAACCTTCCAAGAGAAGTAAGATTTAAGGAAGAGAATATTATCGTTGCTAGTATTATCCCGGGTTCAAATGAACCAAAGATGCGTATCAATGGCTTTCTCAAACCTTCTGTAAATGAGTTGCAACAGCTATGGGAAGGTGTGTATATTGGAGAACAATTTCACCGAGCTGCCGTATTATGCCGGGCGAGTGACATTCCCGCAGCCAGAAAGGCAGGGGGCTTTTATGGTCACATGGCCACTAAAGGGTGTAGCAAATGCCTTAAGAGCTTCCCTAGAAACACGGGAAATCAAGTTGACTATTCCGGTTTTGAAGAGGGGTGGCCTCCTAGGAGCCACGATGACCACTGCAAATATGCTGCAGATGAAAAAAAAACATTTCTGAACAGGAGAGGATTGAAAGAGTATCGTGCGAGATATAGCTGAGACTTCACATGACCTGCCCTACTTCGATGTTGTCCGGATGCATGTCATTGATCCGATGCACAACTTGTTGGAGGGTACAGCAGGCATTATTCTGTCTTCATCCAGAAACCACCACAAACAGCTGCTGAAACAGCTCGAGAAAAAGGCCCCGAAGCTTGAAACTGTGCGCCATCTCAGTGACCTGGAGTTTCCGGGACGCAGAGCGTTTGTGGCTGGTTTGGGGTGGAGGGAATGGTGAGCAAAGTGCTGCAGGGGTATCTTTGTTTCAACAAGGATACCTCACAGAGAACTGTGGGGGCAGTATCAGAGACCACCTTCCCATGAACTTCAGAGTGGCTCCTAGCTCGATCATGGCAGAGAACGAGGTGCGCCAGTTCATCACCAATGTCTTCGTCAGAACCCATCTCCAAGAAAAGATGACAACATCTAGCTAAAGTATTAGAATGGACAGAACCACAATCCCCATAGACCTGCTCAAGAAGTACCCCAGGGATGCTCAGACCCACTGTGAAAGGATTGCAGACT